CTCTTACTTCTCCAAAATCTAATGTTAGAGGCAAAAAAAATTTAGAAAATAATAATGTATTATTGTATTGACATGACAGTAAGCATGATGGGTAAACGTTCAGTAAAGGCAATTACATACCCAACGACCCAAATCTATGCATTTTGTCTTTATATCTGACCATTTGATAAACAAAATATAACATATATAACATTAAATAGAAAGTATAGTGTTAGTATAATAATATATTTACATGATCTGCCTACAGATAGTTTATTAGTAGAGATTTAGCTGTTCACAAAATTTGTTTCACAAATAAAACCATTTTCTGATATTAGCCTACACCACTGTGGTTAAGGTTTGATTAGTGCTAATGTTTGTAAATTCATTATAATTTCAGATAATAGTACAGGCTACTATAGCTTGCCGTTAGTAGCCTAATATTAATTCCAGTTGGACAAAACAGCAGTTTCTGTGGGTTGTTTTCAGTCACTAAATTATTGTGCAAGAAAAATGCTCTACATGGTGGCCAGTCTCTCATTTGTTTATGCAAATTAACTTGTCAGAAATAAAAACTGTGCTTACAGAACCAGGGGTGAGTTGCCCACCTTGCAATTCTGGCATATGCCAGAGGGGCCGGACTATTTGTTTTGGGGTAGTCACATTGATATTAATATCAGTGTTTCTCACACATCAGCTTTACATTTGACGACCCGTTTAAGCATTTTGCAGAGAAACACTGAGATAAATTATCATCCATTACGCTATAAGACTCAGACGATAGATATTTCACATGCAAGCTTGTGTATTGGGACAATACTTGGGCCACAAAAGATGACGTTTCACAAGAACACAAGTACAGACCAGAACACGGATTATGAAAGGCCCTGGGTCTCTGGGTTTGAGTCGTTCATTTGTCACGTGACAGCTCAGCTACAGGCTGTGGTAAGAAGCAGAGCCGTGCAGAGACCTTTGGAAGGGCTATTGTTATGTAGTCCTTGATTATATGCATATACAAATGCTTCTGTATCGATACATCAACAAATGCTGTGACACAGTTTTGAAAAAGAAACACAGGGAATACCCAAATCGAGCTTTAAAACACGGTGGGCTGACATAACTTACAGCGAACAGTTGCTGTTGAGGGGTTGCAGGGGATGTTGCTGCTGCCGCTGCTTTTGTTGCTGCTGATTCTACTGGAGGTGATCTGTGACTAGAGATATTATAACAAACATAGGAGATATATTAGCTGATGTGACCATGACAAGATGTAAAGATTGCAGACAGTATTTGGGACTGGCTCACTATGACTGACCTGCTGTAGTCCTGCAGCCGCTGCCAGGGCTGACTGCTATGAGAAAATAAGAGGGAGATGCTCACAGAGACTGCTGCACACCGAGAGCTGCAGGTAGAGGAAATAAGATACCAGGTTCAAAACAGTGTGGGAAATAATCTGGGAAGGAAACAGTACTGGGAGAAAGGACTAGATTAGCCGAGGCAGGGGTAAGAGTGAGACAAATCTATAGACAGTGTGTGTGTGTGTGTGTGTGTGTGTGTGTGTGTGTGTGTGTGTAGGCAATATTGTGATGATTTTATATATTGCATTGTGAATCTGAGATATATTTGGATTTTGATTGACTATATGTCTAATCATAGATCTAAAAATTTGTTGTGTGTGTTCATTCTGTCGGCCCATAATAACCATGACAGAGCAGCATTTACCTTCACATTAACATTTCATACCTTTGTCTGAAATCTAATAGGGCCATTTCTTCTTCACTCTGTACTTTGATGTCAAGAATATTATTTATTTTATATTGACACTGACATTATTACATGTATTTCCAGTTATTTAGTTCATATAATAGGTTTGCTATTAAATCTATTCAAATACTGTTCTGATTTAAATGATCGTTTTAAAAAGGGCTGATAAGTAGGCTATAATTCGGACGAATAAGTAATAAACCTGTTTTATCAATTATAATTATTTTAAGGCACACGTTTTTTATTAAGTTACTTTAATAATCCTAGTTCAAGTGAAAGGTTTTTAGTCAAATTACATAAAAAATACAATACCTCGCGACCCTGTGAAAGTTTTCTCCCTCAAACAGCAAGAACAAAGTGAACAGAGCACCTTTGTTTATCTGTGTAAAAGTAACGTTAGCTGTCGGCAGCTAACGTTTCTTCTACAGGCGACACACAGCAATATACAACTACTGTGCTGCTCTCTTTGCGTCTCTCTTGTAAAATACATCCAACAACCCACAACAAGCACATGGCAGCAAACCCCTCTTACCGGCAGAATCACAGGTGTCCTGTAGTCTGAGCTGCTGAATCACTAACAGTGTGTGAACGGGAGGGCTCGTCACGGAAGAGGTCATGAGGTGAAAGGTCATCACGTGGGTCATTTTATTTACTGCTGAATTATTATTAATTAATTTACTAATAGTTTGACTTGTCAGGCCTTCACAAAAAAAAATTAATTAATTAAATTTGTCATTGACAAAAGGGCACTTTGGGCATCAAAGGTCAAAAGGGCAGGTGCTCAAGCACCTGTTGCACCCCCCTCTGCACATGCATGGTAAGAAGGCAGCACAGGAAGCAGACTTGATTAGTTCACGACTCTCAACTGTGGGTCTCTAGGTTTGAGTCGTTCATTTCTCACGTGACAGCTCAGCTACTGTGGAGCAGACATGAACTATCCGTTTACCACTCTTCAGAGTCTTTCGTTCATGCAGCAGGCTGAGTTACTGCCAGCGCCGGAGAATGAGAGGCAAGTCGGTTGTCACTGGACTGACATCATGGTCTCCACTGAGCTTGTTTAAGCTTTTCTTTAGCTCCAGCGTGATTCACACACTTATCAACACCAACTTTTTCAAATACTTGCCGCCCAAAACACTTTAGCTTGTAGAACCATTCAACAGTCATGCATTGGTTTTCACAAAACAACGAAGAATGATTTACCAAAGGCGGCTGAGAGGGGACACATGAGGTGGTGTCGGACAACAAGGAGGTGACAGGGAGGGAGGGGGGGGGGGGGTGTCTTTCTGATACGCTCATCCAATATTACTCAGTTTGAGGGAAGACCATGAGATGGTATAACACCCTTTTCTACCATTTTGTTGAAATTTCTATTGTGAATTCATACATCCTGTTCAAACACATGCACACTGGGCAATCAGAGAGACTCAATACACAAACAATGTAGAGAAGTCCTGATGAAAGACCCCACTGCACTGCAGCAAGTGCAATGTTGACTGATGTCTCACCTCATCCAGGAACTGCTTTCAAGAGTAGACTACCATATGAGAAGGTAGAACATTTTGAGACCATTTCAGAGTGACAGGGCAAGGCGCATCTACATTCACCAGTCACACACATTCATACACTGAGCCCAAGTGCTCAAACGGAAACTAACATTAACATTCACTCATACACTGGCAGAATAGCCGCCAGGGGCAATTCAGGGTTCAGTATCTTAACAGGTTAATGAATGAGATTTGGAGAGTAGAGTCAGTTAGACAAATAACTTTTGCCATCATTAAAAGTAACTATCAACCATGATTACTGGGCTTTACAGGAATAAGTTTTATCATACAAAAGTTATTGTAGAACATCTAGTTAAATTGCTAGTTCGAGTAGGAAGAGAGCTCTTAGTGTAAACAGTGGGCGGCCCTGAAAAGGGCCTTTGTGTTGCTGGTGTATCAGCGGGTTTACTTGGAGCTGGTGTACTTGGTCACGGCCTTGGTGCCTTCAGACACGGCGTGCTTGGCCAGCTCACCGGGCAGCAGCAGGCGGACGGCGGTCTGGATCTCCCTGGAGGTGATGGTGGAGCGCTTGTTGTAGTGAGCCAGACGGGAGGACTCGCCGGCGATGCGCTCAAAGATGTCGCTCACGAACGAGTTCATGATCAGCATGGCCTTGGACGAGATGCCGGTGTCGGGGTGGACCTGCTTCAGGACCTTGTACACGTAGATGGCGTAGCTCTCCTTCCTGGTCTTCCTCTTCTTCTTGCCGGTCTTGGAGACGCTCTTAGAAACGGCTTTCTTTGAGCCCTTCTTCGGCGCTTTCACGGGATCAGGCATCGTGAGTTTCGTATGAGTAGATTACTGCTTCAACGAATAATTCCTGTGGCACTGAGATGGCACACTTGAATGTGCTTGATGCAAAGTAGACTGCGCTGTTCCTCGTATAGGATTGGCTAAGATTTAAACGAGACTGAGCATGCGCCACACAAGCAACTTTAAACATTACAAATAGTTTTAGTGAAGTAAAAACTACAATATTCCCCTCTAAAGTCAAAGTGCTGAATGAGTAAATGTACTTAGCTTAAGCCCCTCCCTCTCTGTAGAGTAAAACTATTGTCCCATCCACATTGAGCAGCAGGGCCTGCAGGGAGCTTTGGAAGGGCAGATGCTCAAAGTGTAAAAGGGGCATATGGAACAAAGATTTAAATAGGGCTGTTCTCAAAATATTGCCATTGACATTTAATATGTGATTAATTTTTAAGCTCAGTAAGCTCATCAGTGTATTATTACCAACACAGTATTAGATAGATTAAACATAGGCTACACTGTTCTTGTGGGCCAGGCCTGTGTTATGATGAAATTAGGTGATGCATGAATTATGAAGTATCAAATTTTATTAAGGGACACAGCTCAGCTCCACTTCCACATATAAACCCTCGACCTCTTCAAACTTTTCTTCCCTGTACAAACCATACAAACACTGTGCCAAAACACAAACAAGCAGGATGCTATACAAATGAAAAAGAAATATAAATTAGATGTTTGACGTGAACATAGGGGAGTATTACAAGTACATTGGACTGCTTCTGTACATGGCCATGGTGAAACTCGACAGCACTGCAGATTACTGGAGACAGAATAACTTCTTTTCTTTCCCACTTCTAGTACAGACCATGAAACAGGACAGGTACACAGCACTTTCTTGGAACCTTCATCTTAGCAACCCTGAAGAGGATGTCCAGAACGACAGAAAAAAGGGCACAGCTGACCATGAAAAACTTTTCATACTAAATGATGTTGTGATGTTCCTGGTACAACCAGGTTACCTTGGCGCGGGCTTCCACAATTACATAGAAAATTTGTATTCCAGCCCCAAGCTCTTCAGGGCTCTCCATGAGCAAAAATTTGCTGCCTGTGAAGGACTGCCCTCAGATAACAAATAACGCCCTCACAAAGAAATCTGAAGTTTTTTTTTTTTTACTATTTTATTCACATATTCCACTACTTTTGTGACTCTAAGAGTTTGGGAAAACCATTTAAAGAAACAAAACAATTCGTCCACATGAGTAATGGTATGTGAAGAAATTCAAAAATTGGACTAACTTTTTTCACCTTTTAGAGCCAAATTAGATAATTTGAAAAAAGTTACTCTCTCTCTCTCTTTACACAATGCACTAGGACAAGTGGTGAGCTCATCATTAAGAGAGCTGGGTTTTCTCTGCACATTTTGATATGAAACACATGGTATTGTGTTATGTAATTGCCTTTAAAAGGCGAATTTAAGAAGATATGTAAAATCAAAGAAAAATTGAAAAAATGCCTCAAACCTCAAACATATGTTCTACTAATCAAGATGCTTTATATTTACAAAAGGTACTAATAACTATAGTTAGCCTATCTTACTGATTTATCTGTAGAAGCATGAATAGATAAGTATATAATAAGTATAAGTATATAAATAAGTGTTAAAGACGCACATTGTCCTCAGCAGTAGAAACGTCCACAGCCAGAGTGAGCAGCTCTGACAGGAAGTCAGGCTGAACCTCCATCATCAGTGTGCTTGCTGCTCCCAGAAAAACTCGGTTTATTACAAACTGATCATCAACAGATGCTTGTTTTTACTTTAAGACACTGAACAAACATGTGGGTCCGCTGGAAAACGGACTTTGATGGAGTTTTGGTGCATTTTAAAACATTTTAGGAGAGAAATGAGCGGGGAAAGCAGCTGATACGCGCCGGTCGCGCCGGTGAATGTGTGAATTTTGAAGGCTCCGCAAACCAAATGCGGAGCTGAACATGACTTCAATATGAAGAGACACAATTCCGCCATCAGCTGTTTCACCGGCAGCCTGCAACTTTTCTCCCACATTTAGTTTGGAGCCTTTTATCGGTGCAGAGAAAACACAAGTGGCGGCGTCCAGCCCGCACGGAAGCGCCGCGAGCTGGGCTGAGTCTCCACGGTTCTCATGGTGTGTTTAAGTACAGCCTCCTGCTCGCAGCGCTCCATCATTCACTCTCGTATTATCGTGAGGAGGAACAACTAGAAGCGAAATATGGCAGAGGTAGCCCCAGCTCCAGCCGCCGCAGCTGCTCCGGCCAAAGCAGCCAAGAAGAAGGTGTCCAAGCCGAAGAAGGCTGGGCCCAGCGTCGGGGAGCTCATCGTTAAAGCCGTGGCCGCATCCAAGGAGCGGAGCGGCGTGTCCGCGGCCGCCCTGAAGAAGGCTCTGGCTGCCGGAGGCTACGATGTGGAGAAGAACAAGGCCCGCGTCAACGCCGCATTCAAGAGTCTGGTGGTGAAGGGGACTCTGGTCCAGACAAAAGGGATCGGGGCCTCCGGCTCTTTCAAGATCAACAAGAAGGCGGAGACCAAGCCCAAGAAGGAGGTGAAGAAAGCCGCTCCTAAAGCCAAGAAGCCCGCAGCTAAGAAACCCGCGGCGGCCAAAAAGCCCAAAGCAGCGGCAGCCAAGAAGCCAGCAGCCGCCAAGAAGTCTCCCAAGAAGGTAAAGAAGCCTGCAGCGGCCAAGAAGGCGGCCAAGAGCCCCAAGAAAGCTACCAAGAGCCCCAAGAAGGTGGTGAAGAAGGCCCCCGCAGCCAAGAAGACCCCCGTCAAGAAGGCCGCCAAGCCCAAAGTGAAGAAGGCTGCAGCCAAGAAGAAGTGAGCTGCTTCAAGACCAACAACGTCCCAACAAAAGGCTCTTTTAAGAGCCACCACATCTTCCTCAAAGAGCCTGTTCCCACTCATTCGCGTCATTAACCACACGATACAGTAATTATATCGGGAGGATGGGGGTGAAAGCACATTAAGAAATAAACTAACTTCATTTTCTAAAAAGAAAATGTAAATGCAGGTCAGCCAGCCATGTATTCTCCATCTTATTTAAATAGTTTTTCATGCGTTGTATTAAAAGGCTGTTTCTACTTGTGTTTGCTGTAGGACGTGATACAAGACCCAACTCTTAACTTTGTCTTCATTCAGCAACAAGCAAGCCCCTAAATATCTCAGATTCAGTCTGAAGTGAATGTGAGCAGCTGCTACTCGTCTGTGTGGAAGTTCAGGATGAGACCGAGCCGCTCAACATGACTAATGTATCGCGAGTGTTCGCCAACATATAGTCAGACAATAAAGCACATTTCTAATTCTTCAGATAATTCCTCACTGATTGTATTCTGGATGATGGAGAAAAGTATCTGGATTTGAGTGCAGATGGATACACACGCACATAAAATGTGTTTTAAAAGAGTGGAACATTTTATTTACAATAAAATCTCATTAGCTTACAACAATAATAGATAGAATTATTTGCGTACCATACAGTCATGGTAATGTGTTTTTTTTCACTGTCACATAGGAAACACCAAAACAATGAAAAAAGAGTTGAAATGTTCCCTAAATCACAATCAACTTGAAATGTGGAGCACTTGAGGGAGCTCCATGCCCGACCCTTCAAACGCACATAGTTGCTTATAAACGGTCAGTGAAACACCCCTCATTAATATTAATACGCAGGGGAGAGCGGGGTAAGTTGTCTCGTGTGTACATTGTCACACTGCTCAGAACTCCAACACTAGAGCGTCTATGTCAAAAATCAAATAATTTTACACTGTGTAAAGGCATTCCTGTGTGATAGTGTGAGGGGGCTGTAATGCAGGGGTCAATATTGAAGAAGCCTCGAGAAAAACACCTTGATAAACGTGGTATTTTTAAGATCGCTCAAGGTAACCGGTTGTTTTAGATCAGCCCAAACAAAGCGTTACCTGGATGATGACGTGCTTCATCAATACGTGACTGGACGATACTACTCTGTGATTGTTTGTTTGCTCGCAGGTAACGTGGAGCGCTTGCAGTAGGTGTAACCTTTTGTGAGTTCGAATCCAGCTTGACGCGATTTAGTAAAAAGTCTATTTTCTTTCATTTCTTTTTGTGTGGCTGTATAATGTAGTGCTCACTTATACAATCATGATCGCCTCAGTAGATTAAAGATGCGACTTGAAACTCGCCAGGAACATGTTTGTGAATGTGTGACGAATCTGGGGATGGAGTCAGTCCGCAGCTGCTACACACAAAACGTACACGCGTCTGGCAAGCAGTTAGTTTGAAAACCAGTAGGGCTACAACACCGGCGTTAAACACGTTTCCCTCACACTGTATGGACCGCTGCAGCTGGCTGAACGGCCTTCATGTAGCCTGGCTCCGATTTCACAAGCAGTTCATTTTCCCTGTTGCCAACCCTTGCCTCTCTCCCCTCACCAGGGGAGCGGCGGGGTTATGAGCCACCTCGTGTGGGGCCACAGGCTGCAGTTTTCCTCTGTCTGTGGGTTTGGATCTAGCTTACTGGCGGGACCCCTGGGCAGGGCCATGTCCCATATCTTGGTCTTCATAGACACTTCCCTGATGGGCTGGGGCGGGACCTGCCTCTCTCAGGTGGTGGGCGGTCTGTGGCAGGCCCACATGCCTCTCCACATATTATGAATACAGATTATAAAATACTCGCTAAAATAATTACCAATAGATTAAATAATATTCTGGATGAAATTATAGAAAGAGAACAAACATGTGCAATAAAAGGCTGTCTCATGTGGGACAATCTGAGCATTTTACGAGAAATTTTAAATAAACCAAATAACAAAGGTTTTTATATCATAGGCCTTGACCAGAAAAAAAGCCTTCGATTATATTTCCAGAGATTACCTCTGGTCAGTTTTGGAAGCATACGGCTTTCCTGAATCCTTTATCCATATGGTAAAGTGTCTGTATGTGAAATCAAGTGTGTGTGTTAATGTCAATGGTGTTTTGACCGAGTCTTTGGAGGTCCAGAGAGGTGTAAAGCAGGGCTGCCCCCTGAGTCCAGCCTTGTACATCCTGGCCATCAATCCCCTGATTAAAAAAATCAACGCAGAAAGCCTCATCTCAGATACAAGTGTAGGTAACGCCTCTAAGGTTACAGCTATGGCCTATGCCGATGACATCACTGTAGTAATAAAAAACCAGAGGGAGATGGACGCTTTAATAAATATCTTAAGTGTGTATGAGCTCGCATCTGGGGCTAAATTAAATCACTCTAAAACTGAAGGAGTTTGGATAGGAGAGGAGAGCGACAGGGGCGACATTAACATTCAAATTAATCAGGAAATTAAAATCTAGGGCCTGACCATATGCAATAAAGATTGTGCTGAAGTAAACTGGGAGAAAAAACTGAGTGAAGTTAAAGAAGAAGTTAAAAAATGGGAAAACAAAAAAACTAATTATAGGACCAGAATCAATGTTGTCAAAACTTTTATTTTATCCAAACTCCTGTTTTTATCGAATATTTTCCCCCCATCGCACAAAATGATAATTAAACTGAATAAACAATGTGTTAACCTGGTCTGGGGAACAACCAGGGAAGTCACAAAAAGAGTGCTGCTTTTTAAAAGCAGAGAATACGGAGGTTTAGGTGCCGTGGATCTGGGTATCCGCCTCACAATAGCTTTTGTTAAAAATGTTTCCACAGCCATCTCCAGGAACGCTCTCTGGCTGGGTGATCCCACCAAATGGCATAAGAGACGAGGCAGGGCCAGACAGGGTCCCTACTACAAACTAATTTACGGGGATTTTATTGCACAACACCAGCACTTACAGATAGACTGGGTGGGTTTTAGCAGCAAATCTATTTTCATAAAAATTAACGATTACAAATATGGGGGTTTTATTCATTACACGAATTTGGCGGTTGGCGATGGCACCGAGGTGAGGAAAATTTTAAGGGGAAAGTCACTTTCTGAGAGCCTTCGGGACGCCCGGTGGCTCATGTCAGTCAGTAGACTCCCAGCCAGAGCGGTGGTGTCCTGGTGTTGCTTTGTTAAAACAAAAGAATGTCCGATGAGACATTGTGAGGAGGATGAGACACAGCAGCACCTCCTGATGGACTGCTATAGATCTCAGGAGGTCTGGAACATCTTAGATGGTCTTGGCCTCTCTTTCATACGTAATTGTAGATCTGTTACATACGGACTTCTTGAAGAAATCATGCCCACAAAGAAAAAAGAACTGTTTCAACTGGTCATCAGCATCGTTTGCCAAAAACTTTGGAAAACTAGATGCGCCATAAGTATTCATCAGACTGTCAGACAGTGACATGGTCGTGAAGCAGATTCTGACCGAACTCCGCAGGAGGAGAACTTTGGACAAGACGCAGTCTCTCCCCTGGAGCTCACTGGATTTATGAGGGAAAGAGCCCCCCCCCCGAGCAGCGACACCGAGGACTTTAGCACCTGGCACTTTCTACTGTTGGGTAAGCACTTTATTAATGTATAGGTTTCTTTTTAATCATTCTTAATAATTGTGTGTGACGTGTAGGCTATTTAGGTGTGTATTTTTGGAACTGCTCTGTACTCTGTCATGTTTGAAATTCAATAAAGAACCTTTAAAAAAAAAAAACGTGTTGGAGCTTCTCACAGCGTGGAAAGTGGTCGACACAACATTTATGGCATTTTATATTGAAAAAAGACTGTTGGGTTCACGAAGTAAATAATAAAAGCACAATTTTAATCTACAGAATAGACCCAAAAATCAACATTAAAGATGGGAGGCAACTTCAAGTTGTCCCTGATATCTTGGCTATAATACAAAAAATGTAGCATCATTTCATGGTCTATAGACTAGTCAATTAAATTACAAATATATCCCGTTTTATCCAGTTATAGTTCTAATCTACTGGAAGAACGTCTATTGCAGTATTCATCCACTAGATGGTGCAATAGCCTTTGTAATCGTTTTTTCTGTTTTTAGTAGAGGCCTTGTGCTGAGTGTTTAACCATTTGATGTGTAGGTGGGCTTGGGGTGTGTTTGGTTTGTGAGATTGAGTGTGATGTAATTTTAGTGTATAAAAATAGTGTGTACAAGTTCAAAGCAGACCAACAGAAACACTGATAGCTGCCATTAACTTCGCCAAGTTGTCACTACACTTTCCTTAAAGCATCTAATTTCAGAGGCCATGAACTTTGGCTGAGCAAGAGCTGCTACTGATGTTCATGAAAGGTTTTTGTGTTAGCAAATGTATACCTATTTGGGATAATCTATGCTATTGCAAAGGTATTAGCAACATCTTTGAGGTTGTACATGATGATGTGCTCTTCCAGGACAACAGCAACATCGACACTCTCTTTTGCCAGCAACTCTTGCTTGCTTCCACCATCCTCTGCAACAATGAGAAGGCCAATGTTCACTCTTCTAAATGTAAGTCCAAGCAAAGCTGCTGCTCTTCTGGTTTGAAGTCACACAAACAACAAGAGAAGACAAACTGTTCAATTAGCATTTGAAAAGCTAAACTGTGGTTTGCAGATTTTGCTACATCACAATCAGGTGTTCATGTCAACGGGCATGGCTGCTCTGTCCACAGCTAAAGTGTGTTTTTCATAGAAGCATTTTGAGGTCATTCCATCCTTACTTATGTGTGTCCTATTGAAATACATCATCTATGCTTTCTTCGGCTTTTCATGATAGCTGTTTATGGTTTAGTGTTGTTTTTATGACTGTTTACATGACTTTTATGTTGTTTGGTTCATACTTGCTGTCCTGTGTGCTTGGTTGATACTTGTTAACTCAACTAAACTGCCTGTTGAAAAAAAGGTAAAATAAAATAATAAAACAGGCTTCATGATTTTATTTAAATAGCAGTTATTTCGGACAAACAAATTTACTATCAGGCCCCTCTCAAAATGAATGCGGAGAGAGCCATAAATGTGCTTTCACTGGTCACTGAGACATGAAACCTGCATATCAATATCAATTTCATTTATCTACCACACTTAAAACAATCAAGGTTGACCAAGGTGCGTCACAGGTTAAAAATACAACAATAAAACAGTAATTACACAGTAAAAGTACAGCAATAAAACATGAGAACATACAGTATATGATATATAGTGGCATTAAATATCACATAGCATAAATAAAATCCAGCCTGTTTTCATGCTCAGACGTCGCATATACACGCTTTGGAAAAGCCGCATCTATTGTACGCAAAACTGGAAACAAACAAGCAGATTTATTGTAGGTGAATTGACAGTGCAAATTTGCCCAGTATGATTACATTGTAGCCAGTTTTGCAGTTGCCGGCTTTAGTGTCATTTCCAAAATGTTTGCTCCCATTATTCATTTAGACA